TCCCCGCGCGGCCCGGCCCCCGGCCCCGCCTCCTGTCGTGCGGAGCTGGGCCGCTGTCCTCGAGGGTCTCGAGGGTCTCGGTGCAGCCTCCTGCCGGAGCCGCGCCGGAAGCTGGGTGGGCCGGGGAGTCGCGAAGCTGAGTTCCGCCATGGCGCTCCAGGTAAGGCGAGCCGTTGCGGACCGACGGACGCCTCGACCGGGCTTCTCGGTGCAACGCGGCCCCCTGGGCGACGGGCCTGAAAGGAGCCGTCACCGCCGACTTTGAGCTTGGGTGAGCCCAGCCAGACCAGCCAGATGCCCAGGATTCCCTGGCCAGAAGTCTAGGGCTCTCCCCTTCCCCCAGGAACACGGACCTGGAGCTTTTTTTCTACCTGGAGAGCTCATTCCTTGGGCTTTTCAGTACAGGATATCATGAGAGGGTGTGCACGATCGAGGCCTGAGCGGGACTTGAGGGGATAACTAAATCTGACATTTACTTTTGTTAAGATACGGAATCCCGGGGAATGGGGCCAAGAAAGTGGGGAGAAAGAAAACAGATCCAAGTTATGCTGGTAAAATGTGTCGGTCCCAGAGCTGGAAGAAGAGCCCTATCTGCTGTTGTGGCCTAGGCACAGTTTGGGCAGGGTCGTAGGCTGTGAAGATGCCAGAGCAGTTACTGCACTGCCTTCTGGGTAGACACCCAGAGTCAGATGTCCAATTTTGTTGCCCATGAGCTTTGGCCAGACTTAGGCAGCTGTGTTGGGGTGTTTAGAACAGCGTGTGGCTAGATATCACTAGTACCCCACAAGTATGGTAAGGTAAATGGGATGTTGCCTAGCCCTGGAGTGTCCTTTGTAGCTTTAGCCGACAGGCAACCCAAGCACACTCTTCCACAGAAATGCTCACTGACCCCATCCTAGAGACTGGATATTTGGGTTTCTCGTTCTCAATCCAGAGGGAGTTGGACCGTGGATCTCTCAGACCTGATGTTCAAGGAAGGATGTAGCCTCATACTGTGTAGCTGCGTGAAGAAGATGGTCAGGCATGGTCAGTGGGAATGCAAGAAGGTCACAGTCTGATGGAGAGGGATAGGAAAGGCCTGCAATCTTTGTGTTCAGTTTGACTCCAAGAATCACAGGGGTGTGTGCCCAGTTTGCAGGTGGGGACAGTGAGTGGTAGCATGGTACAGGATCTGACCTGGTAGCCTGGGGCAGTGGGGCTAGGCTGACAAAGACTGCAATAGACAGACCCATCCTGTGAGTGCTGAAACTGCAGTTTCTTACAGAGACGACACTGTAAAAGCACTTTTTAGGAGGTCCATCATGGCAGCCGTGAGAAGGAGGTTGGTCATCCACCGTCGTCCTAGTTAGCTCCAGAAGCCTTTCTTCTGATGAACGGGGGCAGGAGCCCAGATGGCAGGCCGGTGGTAGCTGTCTTCCTGAGTCAATCTCCCCACGCCCTCTGTCTCTTCCCTTCCTCTCCCCACTCCCTCTCCCTCACACACACTTTTCACTCTTTCTTCACTTTTTATTTTTATTTATTTATTATCTATCTATTTACTTGTTTTGGAGACAGGGTTTCATGTAGCTGAATAGGACCTTGAACTTTTGATCCTCCTACAACCACCTGGAATTATAGGCATGTGCCACTATATCTGGCTTGTGGTAGCACTGGGGGTCAGTCCCAGAACATGCTGGGCAAACACTTTACCATCTGACCAACATCCCCACCTCCACTTCTGTTTGGGAAACCTCTGAAGAAAGCATCAGGAGTCACGGCCAGTTCTCATTCACATTTTATAAAAAACATTGTCAGTGAAGATTTCCTTTTGAGGCTAGGATGGAGAGAGGTCTGGAAAATAGCACACACCAAGGCCTAAAGGAGCCAGATATATTTAGCCTTGAGATAAAGAGCCTCACATCACCCCCACCCCAGTCAGGAGTGGTGTTTAGAAGAGCCTGAGGTGGCGAGTCACGCTCTGTAAATGGATATTAGGCAGACCAGTCTAACACTTTATGTACTCCAGCGTTTATTCCAGACGTTTTGCCCATTTGTTTTGTCTGCACTATCCCTATGAACCAGGACATGATCCACTATTACAGATGAGTTTGCTAAGGCTCAGATGGGTCAGCTGTTGGGCTGAAGTCTCCTAACTAATATATTGTCATTCAGGGCACCTTAGGTTATGGCTCTCAAGAGGACCAACTTAACACTAAGAGGACTCACAAAAGACAAATGAACAAGAATGCTGGAGTTTGACAATAGCCTCCACATTTCGCCTGTTAGAAACTTAATTCCCAGTGTCTTGTTCATGCTTTGTGGGGAAGTCACTGGACTTGTTATTAATGGGCTATTGAGGGAGTAGCCTTGTTTGAAGGCCTTTCTGGCTTGCTTGCTTTGTTCACCATGTGATGTCCCCCACCACTCTCATGGATTATTTGATGTAGCAAGGAGGCCCTCAACCAACATGGCCCCTTCACTCTGGACTTCCCAGAATCTGCAACCGTAAGATATCAATCTGTTGTCTTTATAACTCACCTCCTCTCAGGTGTTCTGTCTGTTACAGTAGTAGAAACAGACACAAACAGAGAGTAAACCAGTGAAAAAGGGAGCTGATGAACTGACAATGCATGAAGATACAGCTGTGGAATATCTAGCCACCTGCCTTCTTTGTATTTCTATATTAAAATAAAACCTAACATGGAGCCAGGTGATAGTGGCGCACGCCTTTAATCCCAGCACTCGGGAGGCAGGGGCAGCCTAATCTATACGTTTAAAGCCAGCCTGGCCTGCACAATATGTTCCAGGACAGCCAGAGCTGCAATAATGAGACCTTCTCTTAAAAAGCAAACAATAGCTACAAAACAGTTTTTTTTTTTTTTTTTCTTTCATGGTGCTGGCTGCTGAGAAATGCAAAATCAAGGGACCAGTGTCTGGCAAGGAATCAGCATCTGCCTTGATGTGTGGGTTGGCTGCTTTGCTGGTTGCTCAGACCAAACACTGGCAGAAACACCTAATGGAGGCTAGGTTGATTTGGCTCATGCTTTTGGAGAGTTCAGTCATAATCATTTGACCCATGTAGTTGGGCAGACCATCTCGGCAGTAACGTGTGTTCTCCAAGTCTTGATGATTGGGAGATAGGGGGTGTGACAGGAAGGGACCAGGAGTACTACACCCCCAAAGGACCCACCTCCAGTGATGTACTAGGTCCACTTTTTAAAGTTCCTATAACCTAAAATAGTTCAGCAGGCAGGGAACAAGCTTTTAAAACATGAGCTTGTGTGGGCAGGGCTAGGGCGCTTCACATTCAGCCAATAGCACTGTCATCCCACCGTGGAAGGCAGAGGGGCAGAAGAGCAAAAGTAAACAGAGAAAGAAGAGGACTGAACCCATCCTTTCATCAGAGAATGACTCCCCCAGATAATGGCCTTAATCTATGCATGGCCCAGTCGCTTCTTGTGCCTAGAGTGGATCCTGCATGGGAAGCCAAGTGCTAATGGAGATCTGTCTCCTAAGCACAGAGGTGCTGGACAAGCTTGACAGCTGGCAGCATGGTGCTTTGGTAGCCTGAGCCACGCTGCTATTTAGGGAGAGTTCTGCAGTGTAGGCCAGAGTCTACACGTCATGTGGCTAAGGCCAGGGACCCACAAGCTAGTCCTTCCCTCTTGCTGGACTGCTATTCTGTGGGAGCACCCTTCCCTCTGACAGGGTCAGTAACAGCTGACCAGGTTCCAGCTTTCAGGTGGCAGGCCCCATTGGGTCATGCCTCTCTGTTGCCATGACTTGGTCACCCTTTCCGATGACTGATAATTCCTGTTCCCTTCGTAGTCACAGTGAGAAGGTTGGATCATAAACAGAAACTTCCATTCTTTTGGCTCTCTGACCCCTTCTTGATGGTGAAACTCCCCTGATCCCCCATAGTTGTCTGCTTAGTGCACCTGGGTGGTAGACGTTCCTATGTCATAATTTGCATGATATTTAAAGGACAGCAGCATCTGAACATGTTTAAACAGTAATTAAAGTGTGTAAGCAAAACAAGTATATTTGGTCTGTAGGAGGCATGTGTATGCCCGTTTGGACCTGAGCCTGTTGTCACAGACCTGGGGTTCTGTAGCTCACACATGAGGACTCAGCAGCTTCTTCCCACTCTACCAGCCAGCCCCCATGGCTCCCAGGCATTGGCTGATAGGATACAGGAAGGGAGAGGAGGAAGAGGGCAGCCCAGAAAGGACCAGAGGACACAGCTGTAGCAGAGATGCCAAAGGCAAGACTAGGAAGTGATGGGTTGAATACATGGGGGGTGGGGGCACGGATTGAAAGGTAGCCAGGTGGAATGGGGTCCTATGGTGGCATCTCCAAGAGCATCTGAGACTTAGAGATGCCCATGAGGATTCAGGCTCAGCAGGTAGTTAGACTCACAGCTGTGTGTGGGAAAACATCTGACAAACTCAGCAGATAGCAGAGGTGCCTGGGGCCAGGTTAGAGGAAGCCTGAGGGCAGCTTCCGGGAGGCCTCCAGTGCAGTCACCAAGAAGCACTGAACTCCCCCAGCATAATGGTGAATGACCCGTGTGGAATGCCCACTGGGGGAAGCTTGCCAGAGATGCTACACCCAGGGTTGTTGCTGAGAACAGGTCACTCAGACCTTCTGCTGGCACCTGCCCCAGTGGCAGACACCTCAAAAGGAGATGTGTGTTCAGCACAAACTGAATTGCACAGATTAGTCACTGTGTTAACCAATTAACCTGTAATTGGTTAGGTAGAAACCCTTTTGAGATGCACATTCCCGGGTGCGTGCCTGGGTTTACCTGGTGCTAGGCATTTTGAAGGGCAGCAGTGGCAGGCCTGCCCCGTTGGCTCCTTAGTACAGAACCTAAGATTGTCCACATTTTATGTCTAGGAGGCCAAAAAGAAATGCAAAATGGCCGGGCGGTGGTGGCGCACGCCTTTAATCCCAGCACTCGGGAGGCAGAGCCAGGTGAATCTCTGTGAGTTCGAGGCCAGCCTGGGCTACCAAGTGAGCTCCAGGAAAGGCACAAAGCTATGCAAAGAAACTCTGTCTCGAAAAACCAAAAAAAAAAAAAAGAAAGAAATGCAAAATGGCTCCCTGCTAGAGGTTTGTGGAGTATCTGAGGTGTTCCTGAGGGATAGTGGCCATAGTGGGCCAGAGCCACAAGCTAAGCTTGACAAAAGAGGCTGCTGAATTGCCCAGCAGGCCATGGAGATGGTTGGGAATGCACAGTGGGCTGAGGCGAAGGACACTGACTGTGATCCTTTTGGGCTTCTGGCTGTCCACAGTCACTGGAGATGCGGTCCCTAGCCAGATGTGTTCCTGGAGCCTAACTACTTCAAAATGGCAGGGCTCTAGGAGTATGAGCCTAGTGTATGCACAGTGGTAGCTGTCAGCTGTCAAGAATGGCAGCCGAGAGATGGCAGGGAGTGGGTGGTAAGGCTGCCAGTTAGTAGCAGAGACAGTTTTTAAAGTCACTGACTTAAATGCATGAAATAGGCAGTTGACTCTCCTCTGCTTTATTAGAAGTGTCCCCATTTTTGTCACAATTCCTTCTTGCAGATCATGCTTGTTTCTCACTTAGATGGATTCTTTCCATATTTACATTCTGTTTGTGTCATTTGCATGGTTAATTTCTGCCATAGTCTAAGTTCATGCCTATCAGATGTCTGTCATTGTCTCAGTTTTCATGGCTGTTTGAAAGTCTACTGAATGATGACTTTTAACGAAACTAAGAGATGTTGCGTTCATCTTACAAAGCCATAAGGTATAGGAGGCGAGCCTAGCAGGTACAGGTGTGTGGAGTGTGGATGTGAAGAACTGTTTCCTAAAGCTCCGGGGGTTCCTGGTTTCTTGAGTCCCTAAAGACTACACTACAGTCTTTCAATGCTAAGTGGCAATAGTTGGGGGCGGATGGTGTAGGGAGCATGGTGAGATAGGCCTCTAGATGGGGCCCCTAGAAGGGCTCTGTGGCCATCACCTCCCACTGCGTGCTTCTGCTGCATGTGCCTGGTGAGGAGTGCCACAGCTTTTCACAGTGGAACTGACCACAGCTGGCCTAGGGTTTGTGGCGAGTTGAAGCCTTGCAGGCAGGTGGGACGGGAAGAGTGAAGGTGAGTTCTGCCCAGCAGTGGAACCTGGACCAGATCGGAGTCTGCAGATCAGGGGCCCTGAGCACAGGTCAGGCCTGGAGTACCTGGCTCACCTGCAGCCTGGCTGGCAGGTGGAAAGGGCTTGATCTCCTTCAGACCTTCAGGGCTTTGTGAGGTTCTGTTGCTGCCCTCCCCCTGCTGTTTGGGGGTGTTTAATTTCTGATATAAATTATGTCATCCCTGCTGAAGAGCAGTAAGTGGGATTTTTCTTTGCTATGCAGGTTGATTAATTCTGGTCTGGAAATCTGAGATGGAAAATGCTCCAAAAGGCAAAACTTTGGAGCACCGTGATGCCCTGTGTAGAGAAGTCCACATCTGAGCTCCTGTGATCATTTGCAGTCAGAATGCAGGTGTACTAAACACGCTGTAAAAGTTTACCTCCGCCTAGGTGCATAAAGAACAAAATATAAAAGAATTTCTTGTTTAGATTTGAGGGCCATCTCTAAAATAATTCATGATGGACATGAGAACATTCAAAATCAAATATTCAAAATACATCTGACCCCAAGAATTTGGGGACAAGAATAGTAGCCCTTGGTAACGAGCTGGTTTTGTTAGTAACCTGATGTCCTCCTCTCAGTGCCGCGGTGCTGGAGTTCCAGGTTCTCCCACAGTCACTTAGTAGCCGACACAGCAGATAGGGCCGACTGGGTACTGAGGAGTGGAGTTCCGCCCTCCCTAGTTACACCTGTGGTGACCTTGTTTCCAAACGGTTGCTGGTGGTGGCGCACCTTCCTGGGCACCCAGGCACTGCCCCGGTACCCGCTCCCCCCGGGCCGACCCCACCCAGGTCTGCACTGCCCGCTCCTGGTGTTGACCGGGAGACGCACGTGGCTCCCTGAGCTGAGGGACAGTTTGGGTGGGCCTTGTTGGCGTGGATGCAGCCAACCCCCCCGGAGACTGTGCCCACAGGTGCCCATCAGCTTCAAGGACTTGGCCGTGCGGTTCTCTGAAGAGGAGTGGCGGATCCTGCAGGAGGGCCAGCGGGAGTTCTACAGAGACGTGATGCGGGAGAACTACGAGACGTTGGTGTCCGTGGGTGAGGGCCTAAGGCCTCCAGAGTGCGGGCTGCAGGGACAGGAGAGGGGAGCAGGAAAGGAGGCCAGGGTCTGTGCCCGGGGGCCTGGGGTCTCCGTGAGGCCCTAGGCTCCTCCGGGCCCTGGCCTCCTCCTCTGTGAACTGAGTAGTTTCAGGGGAGTGCTCAGAGCCTGAGGCTGCCCAGGGCCTCACTTCCCTTGGTTCATTTCTGTGAGCCAGAGTAGGGGTGTACAAAGCTTTCGGGGTGTCTGGTCTTTTGAATTTGGTGACCACACAAACATGAATGGAAAGCTGTGCGTAGATAAGCAGGCATCTGGGCCATCACATGACTGCGGGAGGGTAAAAGCCACTCTGTTCCCAGAGTAACTGCTCCTTCTTTCCCCAGGGACCTCTGAGCTGCTTCCTCTCTCTGCTTTCCTGTCACCCACAGAGCCTGGAGGAGCCACCGCGGGAGAGGGCCACCATGATAAGGGACAAGAACCCCCACTGGAGCGTGGTTCCCAGGGTAGGTCCTCCCAGTGGACTTGGAGCACTTCCTCCTAGTCGTGGTTTTCAGCCCCTGGGTTCTGCCCCTCAAGTGACACTGACTTCAGCTAATTCAGTCCAGGCCTCCTCGAGACCTGCCGCTCTTCCTCTGGGGGAGGCTCGTTGCCTGTAGTCTAGTCCATGGAGAAATGCTCAGAATAAAACCTGAGGTCACATGGGGGAGAACCTCTGCCTTGGGCCCCACTCACCCCTACCCAGAGAAGCCTGCTGTTTAGACAGTAGAGGTGGCACGTGGGGCCCAGAGTAAGTGAGGGGAGGGAGACGGCCGGATGGAGCCGCAGGACCCTTCAATGTTGCTCTCAGTGGGAAGGAGACAAGAGGAACTTCTGGGTAACGGCGCAGAGCCCTCCTGAGCTCAGCCCTCCATCCTCTGAGCCATGTGCTCCCTTTGGCTGCGCCATCTGTGATTGCCAGGGTTCCCTGGAGAGCTGGGTGACTGAGCACAGGCCCGCACACCTCTCCACAGGAGGGCAGCCCCAGCAGAGCCTACACCTCACCGCCTTAGTGCAGCTGGTGAAGGAGATTCCGGAGTTCTTGTTTGGAGAAGTGAAGGGCACGGAGGACTACCCCGAGAGTGGGAGCACCAGTCTGGATGGGGAGCGAGCGAGCCCTGAGGGTAAGTCACACAAGCTGCAGAGTGACCTCAGTACGGTCCACGGGGCTGTGCGCAGTTCCTTCCGGCTCAGCTCTTGACCTCTCTGTGCTCATCCTCTGAGCTTGTGGGACCCAGTGGGGGTGGGAACAGTCCATGCCTTCTCTCGGTGTGTCTGTGTCCAGCCACCTGGTGACCCCTCCCTGCTGCCTGTACTTTGCATGGTGGTGAGCAGTATGTTTGTCCCTGTTAAGCAGATGGGGAACGGGAGAGAAGCTGAGCTTTGTCCAGATAGCCAGTGGGTCCTAGATCCTACTGCCAGCCTTTCTCTTTCTGCCTCGGAAACCGTTCTTTCCCCTCTCCACCTGGTCCCCCTAGAACATGTCCCCTACCTGCTGCAGCCCTCTGCAGTTAGTGGTGGATGACACAGGGAGGGAGCAGAGGTATAGAGCGGCGCTGACTGGGTGGGGTGGGATGTGGCTTTGTGCTCACTGCTCTGTGCTTTATCAGGACATGGCTGAGACATAAATCTTCAAGTTTCAGAGCTCAGCAATGACACTGAGCAGGCCACTGGCCCCTGGTCGTTGTTAGTGGCACAGGACAGGGAAAGCACTGACTGTGGTAATGTGAGGACAACTTACCGGTTGGCGTCTTCTCCATCTCCCAACAGTAGCTGGGGCTGTGGAAACTTACCCTCCCCGAGGCCTGCTTAGTTCTCTTCCGGAGAGCCCTGCAAGCCACCCCAGCCTGGCCAGCACACCCACGGGCAGCTCCTCTTCCAGTGGCCCTCCTGGAGACTGGGCACAAGAAAGCCTCCTGCCTGCCAGTGAGTCTGACCCAGTGTGCACAGGGACACCCAGCACTATAAAGGCCTACCCCTAGAACCCGTCTTGGAGTCCATACCCTCTTCACTTTCTCTGGCTCAGCTTCCTCTGTAGGTGACTGGAAACAAAGATCTCTGAATAATGAGAAAACACACTTGGCCTCTGGTCTGCAGACCAGGTGATTTGATGCTCAGTTCCAGATGGCCGGTCCCTGTGTTCATCACTGAGGACTAGAGACACACACACAGAGCTCTGGGCAGTTCCTATGTGCAAGCCAGGCAGATCACTTACCTATGTGCCCCTGGTTTGATTCTCAGCTGCCTCAGCAGAGCTAACAACAGTGAAGCAGCTCCAGCCTCTAAAGTTTCTCTGGGGTCTCAGTTTGTCTTCTAAAATATTTCGAAACTGTACTTGTCTGAATGTGTTGGTTTTTTATTTTTGGTTGTGAGCCTAGCCTTTAATGGCTAAGCCATCTCTCCAGCCCTGTTTGGTGTTTTAATTTAGAATATTTAAAGAGATAAAGATTAAAATGGGCACTCCCCAAAAATGTACTCCAATTAGCCTATGGTTCCATGTGCCATCTGTCTTACAAGCCCACAGAAGAAGCATGAGTAGTGCTTCCAGGAGGTGGTGGGCTACACAGAGAAAAACCCTGTCTCTAAGGGAAAACTAAACAAAAACAAAAAACAACACCACACACACATATACACACACACACACACACACACACACAAAAAAAAAAAAAAAAAAAAAAAAAAAAAGAAGAAAAAGCATGAGTACAAGCCTGACCTGTGTTGTGGCTGTAGGCTTCATTAGCTGGGCCAGATTCAGAGACTGGGGTCAGGGAAAGGGTCAGGAAACATTCAGCTTGAGCGAGTCTTGGTATTTACAGCTAAACCAGAAGGAAACAGGATATAGCCTCCAGCCCTCCTGGAACAAGTCCTCCAAAGATAGCCCCAGCACGAGAGGCTAATTTTTAGGGTTTGGGTGACTCTCAGAGGGTTGGAGAGTTAGAGTGGTCTGTCCTCTTGGGGAGCAGGTCTGGGGTGATCCCAGAGTCTGAGTCCCCCTAACATGGCTTTCTTTGTGTTTTGCACTAGGAGCTACTGATAAACCACTCTCCATAGAGAAGGAAGGCTTGGGAGCCTCAGGAGAGACTTCCATTCATCCCACTCAAAGCCTGGACCAGAGCAAGAGCCACCTAAGACAAGATAGAGGCGGCATAGGAACAGGTGAGAGGCTGGCTTCCCGGGGTCGAGCAGTCCAGAGCTGAGTAGGGTCAGAGAAGGTCATGTCACTCTCTCCTCTGAACTTCATGACAACCCTGTAAGACAGTGGTTCTCAACCTTCTTAGTGCTGTGACCCTTTAATACAGTTCCTCATGTTATGGTGACCCCCAGCCATAAAGTTATTTCATTGCTACATCATAACTATAATTTTGCTATTGTTATAATATCCGATATGTGCCCCCAAGGGGTCATGACCCACAGGTTGAGAACCACAGCTGTAAGATAAGCTTTGTGTGTGTATGTATGGGTGATGCTCAGCTGCCCAGAGATGGTGGGGATGGCTGAGGGTCTCGTGCTGCCTGTGGGGACTACATTGACCTTAGCTGCCTTGTATGTGCATAGGAACCTCTCCCGAGAACAGTCCCTTGCAAGGCCTCATCAACTGTCTGAAGGAAATCCTTGTGCCCGGGCCCCAGCACCGTGGGACAGCCGCAGACTTGCCAGCTTCTCTGCCTGGCCTGAGTGTGCTGAAGCAGAGCAGAGCTGAGGTGGAGCCAGGGAGCCTGCCCTGCCCGGGTGAGTCCCTGGGCACCTGGCCTGCTCAGGCCAAAGTCTCCACAGTCCCTGGGAAGTTCAAATCGCCATTCATAGCTCTATTGCTGTGTTCCAGGCCATCTCCCGTGAGATGGCCACTTTGGGTGCTCCTGTGTCCCTAGGGTCAGCTGTCTGAAGCCCAGTGGCTTTCAAGGATAGCAGCAGACTTTGTCCTGTTCTCCTCACTCTTCTCTGCTCCTTCTTTTTTTTTTTTTTTAAGGTTTATTTATTTATTATGTATATAGTGTTCTGTCTACATGTATACCTCCAGGCCAGAAGAGGGCACCAGATCTCATTATAGATGGTTGTAAGCCACCATGTGATTGCTGGGAATTGAACTCAGGACCTCTGGAAGAGCAGGCAGTGCTCTTAACCCCTGAGCCATCTCTCCAGCCCTTCTAATGTGGGACTCTGAGGATTACTTTAGGGCTCAAATGTCACTTTCTGTTGACATGAATGAGGTGTCAGTGGACACTGAAGTCTGCCTGAGGTTGCCCTCAAAGGGCTGCCTTTGATCTTTGGTGTTGCATCTGTAGAGGATCGCTGCTCCATCCTCTGGGTTGGGTGAACTTAACTGCAGAATTCCTCTCATGTGTATGAACGTTCCATGTGTATGTCAAGGCCTGATACACCTTGAAGCTAAGTTGTACTCAGAACTCAGAAATTGCCAGCCCGCCCTCTTCGATTTGCACCCCGAGTGATAGCTGTGTGTAGGTGCTGCCCACCTGGAAGGTTTACAGGTCCTGGTTTCTGATCCTGTGCTGCTCAGACTGCACCCCAGGACAGTCCTGGTCTGTCTGTCAGAAGACTGAGGTCGCTGAACTTAAGTGAAACATATGTCTTTTCCCTTAGTGAAGACAGAGCCAATATCCGGGGATTGTCCCCTTCAGGGCCTGCTGAACTGTCTGAAGGAGATCCCAGAAGCCCCAGACGGGCGTCCCAGCCCCTCAGGAGCCGGGGACCTGCAGCTGCAGGAGGAGCCAGGGAAAAGGAATTCTGGAGGTAAAGGCCTTTTGCTAGATTAGTGGTGGGGGAGCTAGATGTAATGTCTTTGGTTTCCTTGCTCTGAGTACAGCTGTGTGTGACCCTTCACAACAAAATGGATGTCCTGTGTCAGCATGTTGGTCCGACAACCCCATGCTGGACCTCATCACTCTGTACAAGAGCAGAGCATGTGGGAGACCCTTAGTCAGCTTCATAATTTTACAAACTGGCTCTTGTTGTAGGAGGTAAAAGAGCTAGAGAACTTTCTAGAAAGGATATTGGGGTGGGAGAGGGAAATGGAACAGAAGGCAGGAGGTGTAGCACAGCAGACCGTAATTGTGACGGGGGATTGCTGCTGTCCTGTGTTCAGACAGCAGGTATGGCTGGAGGATGGGTTTCCCAACACGCATGTTTGGACCAGGGATATTTGTCAGATCATCAATAAGCTTGTATTCCCGAGAGCACGGCCTTGAGAGGGTGGGGCTGAACAGGCCTGAAGCATGAGGAGCAAGGTCTGATTTGTTGCTGACCAGGGAGGGGTTCACTTTAACATCCCTTAGAAAGCTCCCGAGCACCCCAAAGGTGGTAGAGATGTTACTTGCATCTGTGCTCGGGATTGAGAGGTGATCATACCCAGAGCTAGTGACTGCTGTGTAGGCAGAGGAACCTTGGAAGTCCCTCCGAACCCTATAAAGTGGAGCTCTTAGGACTTGGGTTGAGTCTAAGCCTGCAACCAGGGCTTCCTAGCACTCACCTTCCCCACAGGGATGAGATGCCCCCAGACTCCTCCTCTCCGCCGTAGTCATGGAGCTGGAAGTATGCTTGCCGTGGTGAAGGTAGAAGATGGCTGGGTCCAGAGTCCCCCAGTGCCAGCATCTTGCCAGCTTAGCAGGCAAGGCCACGGTCCCTATTTCACTGGAGATAGCAGAGAGGTCCGTGTGCCCCGCTGGGGCCCCATGACTCTCGGTAAGTTCTGGGTTCCAAAGCCCACAGGGAAGTAAGTACCTGCTTCTCTTTCGGCCAAGGAGCCTTTCCCCTGCCTCTCCTCCCAAGCTGTTCCATCTCACTTCATGTCCTCAGTCAGGCCCATGCTCAGGCACCCTCTGGTTTCAGGACCTTCTTTTTGCAGTGAGGTTGTGGCTGTGGAAGCTGGCCACGGCATGCATGTGGCTACCCCACCCTTCTCCTCGGAGTTGGGGACAAGTTCATTCCTTCTGTAGAAGCAGAAAGCATTCACAGTTCCTCACTGGAGGATCTCCTGCTTAGCAGATCACTGGAGCCTGCTGTAGAAGTCAGGCTGTGGGCCAGCCAGCCAGCCAAAGGCCAAGCTGGGGTCTGACAAGCAGGCCAGAGCCCAGCAAGAGGAGATGACAAGGTGGCCTCTCTTGTCCAGCCGGCAGGGCCTCAAGCTCACCGCTAGAAGCTCTGGAGGCCTGTCTGAAGGGCATTCCTCCAGGCGGGTCATCACCTCTTCAGCCGCTAGCCACCTCATGGTCCAGAAGTCCCCAGCCAGGAGATGCTGGCTCTCAGAGACTTGAGCTACAGCCGCAAGGATCACACAGTGCAGGTACTCGGGCCCAGGCTGACAGTTATTCCTGTGCATACAGTGGGAAGATGCTGAGGGCACCATCTGCTCATCCCCCGCTTGGCCTCCTCCTCGAGCATGTTACCTTCTTTCCTAACCCCTGCTTCATGCCTTCCCCCAAATAGCTGTCCAGGTTTGGTGAGAGCCACATTCTCCCCACCCACTTTCCTGCTCTGAGGTCTTCTTATTCCCAAGACTGTATGGGGGTAGGGCGGGGGGGGGTGGGGGTAGACTTTTCAGTGCCATGGGAAAGAAATCCTGGAAGGGGAAGGAGCTCCCTGGACTGGGTCTTCTGGTGCCATATACTGTAAGACTCAAGGACTTCTCCAGCATGCTCTGCCTTGACCCAATTATACTTCTCTCTGCAGATGCTTCGAGAGAGCCACTTCTGCCTCTGAGCTTGCGGGGCTGCATGAGAGAGGGACCTGGGATTCAATCCTCTGGCTCCCAGGGTACCCCTACCAGCTTCTCCTCAGCCAGCAGCAGTGATGGGGATCTGGATTTCAGGAGCCCCAGGAGCAGTCAGGGACAACGGCTTGGGAAAGGTGAGCTGGTCCAGCCTGAGGTTGGAGTCCTCTGGGAAGGAATACATTGGTCCTTGTCCACTATTATCTCTGCCTCAATGCCAGAAGAACTGGGTGTACCAAAGCAGAAACAGACCCAGGACTTGTCTTGGCAAGTGAGAGGGGTCTGTTGTAGTAGCTTGGCTCAGAAAGGACAGGACAATGGCTGGCAATGTGTCCTTAATCTCCCTTACACTAAACCCTTCCCTATCGAGGAAAAAAGAAGTGTCTATAGTACTAAATGACCTCCAGCTGAGGGGACAGTGCAGATCTTGGAAAACCGCCTGCGGAACTGTACTCACTAATCTGTGCCTCCCTGGGCCCTGACAAAGGAAGTCACTCTTGGGGACTTGGGGTCTTCTGGAGCTCTCTCAGCATCCCCCTTTGCCTTTTCTCTTGGAACCATCATGTCTGTCTTCTCCTGTGGGTGGATACCCAGTGCATCTGCCCAACTGTGCCCTGGCCACATCCATTGTTAAAGGCCTGGCAACATAAATTGACATCTGCCTCAGTGGCGTGGCACCAGCAGCCCAGAGTGACTCATTCTAGTTTACCCTGATGAGTTAAACGAGTTTACCTGAGGTTCTTCAGGCACTGTGGATGACTGTCAACAACAGCATTTTCTCAGAGTCCCCAAGCCCACACCCACCAAGCTCCTGATTTATTTGGCTCTCAGTGTACAGCTGAGTCAGTAAAGCTGGGCTCGGAGTGCTGCTGCCCAGTGTTAAAGCAACAGAGCTTAATACAGGCCCCGACGACAGGAGGCACAGACAGAGCCAGACGCTGGGCAAGTCGCACATTCATGTATACCCTGCTCTTGCCCTGATCTCAGATTCTGTTGTTCTTGCCAAACACTGCCTAATTGTGGGCAGGATGGCTTACTTTGCTCTTGTCTGGCACATAGAAGAGCTAAGTGACATATTGCTGCAAGGTGGAGTTACTCTTGTAGCATTTGGGAGACTGCCTTCATTATAGTGCCTGCTTTCTCTTTTCTGAATCCTACTGAGGAAACACCCCCCCATATAGAACTCAAATGCCCCTCAGCTTTCATTGCCCTCCCATGTGTACCGTGGCATACATGTGGTCCGAGGACAACTTGGAAGAGTCAGTTCTCAATTTTCCAACACTGTATGTGTTCTAGACCTCAAACTCAAGTGTGCTTGATGCCAAGCACCTTTGCCTGCTGTGGTTTGTACTTCCATGCTATGCTATGCTATACCACCCCACGTGATCGTCTCTTGCTTATAATCTCTGCCTGCTTCCAGAGTAGACAACAGGTGCCTCGTGGCCTCATGACTAGTACTGTCTGCTTACCTTATCCCTCTAGAATTTCACATCATCTAGCTCCTTATTGCACAAGACTCTATCAGTAGGAGTACTAGCTTTGAAATGTATCTGAAACCTATCGAGAATTAGACCTCCTGTGCCCAGATGTGATACTGAGAGGCCAGAGGGCCTGCATCATTGCCCTCCTTGGGGGGTAAAAGAAGACTCGTGCACATTTTGATCGTTAGGGTGTCCTGTGCACTGAGCAGGCAGCATCTCTCCTTGGCATGGTGACAGCTCTTGTGCTAAACTAGACGCCTGTGACTAGACTATCTCATTCCAGCCCCCAAGGCAGACTTCTGTGTAGGCTTCTTCCAGGGCAGCCTGAGCAGGGCTGCCCCAGGCCACAGCTGACAAGTGCTTGAAGCCATGTCTTCATCCGGGGCCCTGAGCTAGCTGGACATATCCTATATTCTGTGCCTCCTTCCTCTGCCCTGGTCAGGGCAGAAGAGACGGGCTCCGGGGATTCACAGAGCACTGGCTACCCATCCAAGACTGTTCATGTTTGACTACAGGATATCCACCAGGAAGCTCTCCACTCCAAGGCCTGGAGAACTGTCTAAGAGAGATCCCTATCCCCAGGCCACAGGCTGCCTGGCCTTGCTCCTTGGCTGCAGACAGGGGGTCGAAGAGAACAGAGCCCAGGAACTGGACTGCAGACACGGACGGTAACGAATGGTATTTGTAGATAGCTGGGAGAAGAGCCGTCCCCTCTGCACTGCGGCCTTGGCAGCAGGGTAGCAGCCCTCGGGCCAGATCTCGGCTGAGCTGAGAGGATGCTCTGGAGACAGGCCTGGGCCGAGCTGGGGGCAGAAAGTCAGCCAGCCTAGTCTCCCCACTCGTGCAGACTCACAGTCAGAGTCCAGGATGTGGAGGCCCTGCCTGCTGCTCCACTGAGCCAGAGCTTTGCTGACCAGCGTCTCGGTTGTGACTGTGTCATCCCTTGTTGTCTGGGCACTGAGTTATACACCTCCTGGGATTCTCTGTAGCTTGGGTTGGGAGTAGAGAGGTCCCAGGGGTTTGGGCTGGTGTAGTGACCTGAAACGTGTGTGCTAAATGCCTGGTAATGGTAGAAATGCTGTCCATTCTGTGGGAGTATGAGGTTCCGTAGGACGTCAGAACTCTTCTCATTAAAACAGGACCGAGGGGCGAGGCCTGTGAGCCACCCCACCTTGGACAGGGTCGGGGAGAAGTGCCCAGCAGGAGTCTCCGTCTAGGCAGTCCACAGACCTGCCCCTCTACCTGCCACCAAGTGACTGCCAGGCCAGGACCGTGGCAGTGGCCGAAAGATGGTGAGCCGCCTTCTGTGCTGACACCAGAGTTTCCCCCTAGTGAGTTTTTGCCAAGGCAATAGCCTTCCCTTTTCTGTGTTTCTGTTCCTTCCCTACTCTCCTGCCCTTGCATGGATATAGACGTGGACCGTCAGAGTGGACTAAGAAAGAACAGGATGTTTGGCTTCCTTGGGGTATCTGAAGTGGAGACGCTGCTGGGATTGAAGGGTACCCTGTACACACTGTTGAGTACAGACTGCTCCAGCAGGACCACTCTAGTCTCCAGGGGTGGAAGGATGACCTCGCTCATCAGTGGTCCTCACTGAACGCTTGCACAGTGCTAGGTAGAGGGTCTGCTCAGGGGAGGGTTGCAGTCTGCCCACTGGGAAGGGCTGCCTCGCATGCAAGACTCAGGACTAACTGGAGCCTCACCAGGAGTAGCTTCTAGGGACTTGGAACTTCCGGAAAGTTCCCCAGCTCACTTGTCTGCGGACATGGCTAGCCGCTGGGTTTGTTTTTCTCTACCTACGACCAGAAAGTAAATTGTTCAGGGTCCACCAGAGCCCAAGTGGGCTGTGGCTGAGTGGAAAAAGATGCATCCTAAGTGCCTGGCCACCAAAACTGTGCTGTCAGGAACTGGGCAGTGAACTCCTTTCTCCTTTGTTTAGAGACAGCCACCATGCCCTCCCCTCTGCACTGCCTGGAGAGCTCTCTGAGGGGGATCTTGCCCGTGCGACCCCTGCGTTTCACCTGTGTGACTGGTCCTGACCCCAGTCCCAGCCCCTGCTCCAGCTCCAGCTTCAGCAGCTCTGATGGAGAAGACCTGAGGCCAGAGCCTGCATTCTGGCAGCCACCCCTCCAGAGTGAGTCTGCTGGCGTGGGGTGGGTGGTGGCGGTGAGCTGATCTCGGAGGTGCCTGTCAGTACTCTGATGCTAGCTTACTCATGACACAGAGAAAGACCACCTTCCCTCCAGCAAGGGTCCTGTCCCTCTGTGCCCTGTCCCTACAACATTCCCAGGAGTCAACAACAATAGCTGTCTTGCTGAAGACCCGGACAGACCAGAGTCCAGGGACTGCAGCAGCCTCGATACAGGTAAGTCTGGAGTCTCTGGATGACAGCCACATGTCCCCATGGTCCAAAGGTCCAGACTTCATTCTCTGGGTTTGGTTGTCATTCTGTTGGCTCTCCTTAAAACATCCCCATAATTTGTTGTACTTTAGATCCTGTGAGGGAAGCTGAGCCCAGGGCTGTGTTCTGTAAGGAAATCTGGGTAAACCACTGAATGATATGTGCATACTATCTGCATATATGCTCATTAATACATGCACATATATATATATGCATACACATATATATGCCATATAGTTAGTATCCAGTAACATTTTTAAAACTTGGCAATTAACAAGGAAAACATCAACAGTGGTCTTTTTCAATGCTAGAGCACTTGTGTAACATGTGTGAGGCTGGGTCTGATCACACACAGTGAGAACAGAACTTCTTGGAATGGCCCAGAAGTCTAGAAATGGCACCGGGTATTACAAGCCGCTTTACTCTCCCCCTGAGCTGTGACCCAGACTTTGTTACTAACAGGAAGAGCAGAAGGGACAGGAGTCAAGACCCCGTCACCCAGAAGAGAAGGAGCTGCAGAGCACACATGCCAGCCTGGCCCTGTCAGCAGTGCTGAAGTAAAAGGAGGAGGAGGAGGAAGAGGAGGTAGGGGCCAGGGAATCGTCTTCGGAAGCTGCTGCTCCCAGGCCTTGGCTACCACCTATGTAGGACTCAGGATGAGCCACACTCACATTTCCTCACAAGTCGCTGAGGATTTGCAGGAAATGGTGGAGGGGTTCCCACATGGCCCAGCAGGCCAGCCCACCAGCATTCGGCTCCCCAGCGTCTTGCACCTGATTTAACCATTGTTTAAAAGTTGCACATTTGTCATTGGGGGGAGGGTGGGAGTGGGGGTGTGGCTCCATGAGGACAGCCCCATGTGGAGTGGTACTGCCAGAACTGTCCTTGTCCCAAGTGTTCGATGTTCTTTCTGCAGAGGCAACTGGGTGCCCATGGCCTGCCTCTCAGCTGGAAGAAAGGCCTGAGCCCAAGGGTGCTGAAGACACCAGTGACCTGGAGCCTGGACATGGGCAACCCAGTGCCACAGGTGAGCTGGTGGCTTCTCCAGCATTTGCTGTGCTTTAGTGGCCTCTGGGGAAATCAGAACCCAGGTTCCAGCCTAAGGAAGTAAGCATGCTCCAAGTTTATCATTTGATTATGGGTAGGAAAATCTTATACTGAAGCCACTCAGGTACGTGGTCCACTTTACTTCAGGGTTTTCATAAAAGCCCACAGGCTCTCCTTTTAGAGGCATTGAGAAGCATCTGGAGTCCAAGTTTGGGTTTGAGGGAACTGAACCTCAGCACTGTTGAGTGGCCTGGCTGGGGTCCTGCACAAAGCATGGGCTTCCCATCGCCTTGTTCAGGGACCCACAGTGACAACAGGCAGGGTGACGCATCTGTACCCGGAGCCGTGCTGGGAAGGCACCACAGGTTTGCAGGACGCGGGGTCTGTGCCGCCGCCCTCGCTGGCTTGTGTGCGTGTGTGCATGTGCGTGTGCGTGTGCTGGGCACCTTCTTTGCCTGTGAGCTTTGACTCCTCCGAGAGTGCGAGGTTTTGTTAAGAGCCCTGGCTGCCCTCCCTCAGATGAAGCGTCAGACCACATTCTTACTTTGTTTTGTGATGTTTAGTTGTTAGTTTTCGCTTGAGATAAGGTTTCAAAAGTCTTGTGGGAGACAAGTAACCTAGGCCACTTGGAACATGTGATCCTCCTGCCTCAATTTCAGATGCTTGCTTTAGTTCAAGAACTTAGTGAGACCAGGTGTGGGTCCTTGGGCCACTTGGGCCATCACCTGTCCTTCCCTGTCTGCAGCCCTAAAGGTACCGAAAAGACAAGGGCAGAGCCTTGACTGGGGTTCAGTAAACAGCAGACCCCTCTTCCATTCTGGTGGATGGGTGAAGAATGGCAGGGACCTTGACCAGCACCATGTTGCCTGGGTGAGACCCACTCCAGGGGATGTGGGACTGAAGAATTAATTAGACGTTTTGGGGGATCAGTGGGGAGGAACCTAAGATTAAAATTCTCTGAAAGCCAGGCCTTATGGGGGCAGGATACTGAATACACTAAAGAGGTCTCTGGGGCCAGAGAGAAGGCCCTTACAACCTAAGTACTCTTACCCACTCTTTCTCTGGTTTCAGCCAGGACTCAAGGGAAGCTGCTCTCTGGGGACCCTCCGGAGCCACCTAGCAAGTCTCCCCTTCCCACAACTGTCTTGTCAAAGTGGCCACCCGCTTCTTTCCAGACACCATGCCCCTGTGGCAGATTCCTGCAGCAGGAGTTGCACAGCCTTGGTACGGCCCTCACGGACAAGCTGGATCAGCTTGCGTCAGCCTTGGCAGGCCTGACTCAGGAAGTGGCCACCATGAGGACCCAGATGGACAGGCTGGGAAGGCGCCCACAGAGCCTTGGACCAAAAGGCCAGGCTTCCTGGCGGTTGACCCTCCCCCGGAGACCTCACTGGGCCAACAGACTGGACCGCAGATACCTACCCTACTGGAGGCAGAAGGGCCCCAGCAGGCCCAGACCAAAGATGCTGCGGGCCCAGGCAGAAGGCTGCAAGGCTGCGGACCGCCCAGGACTCTCTAGAGGGAAGGGCAGTTTGGTGCCTCAGCCGCCTCCAGATGGTTCCTTGGTAGAATCTTCCAGGCCCAGCGGTAGCTCATCCCAGCAGATCTCCTCAGCACCTGGAGGCCACACTGTGCTGACTGCACACCCCCTTCGGGAACACACCGGATGCCACCAGAATCCCCCCTCCCCTTCAGTGCCTACTGCCTCGGTCCCCCTTGTGGCCACACCAGCAACCAGTGCAGACTCGGAACCTCAGGCTGCTGCAGTGGCAGCAACCAGCATTCCACACCAGCACAAGGAACCTAACAGCCGGCCAGGGGGAGCCCTCAGCAAAGACCTCTGGGGAGGTGACCACAGGGATCCGAGGTGGGGGGCCCATTAACTGTCCTGTCCCTTTGCTCAGGCTTGCAGAGGATGCTGGGTGGCCAGGATGCCTGGTAGGAGCCTCTGAGGTAAAACCATCGCAGGCTGCCTGCTTCCCAGGGGTTGTGTCTTCCTTACCTGCTCAGCCAGACCTCTGATCACTGCTGCAAGTCTGGCCCTTTGCCTCTGCTGTGCCAGGCCCCCGTGGTGTCTGCACAGGGCCACTCTAGAGGCATCCCTCCGCCATACCTCCGGCTTGCTTGGCTCAGGTTCAGTCAGCCAGCTGCTCTTCCTCCTTAGCAGAGCCATCTAGGTTCCAGGTGGGTGTCATGCATACTGCATATGCACAGAGCCAGCTGCAGAGGGCACCATGAAGGCACCTTAAGCTCCTGCTCCTGATCTCAAGGACACGAAAAGGCCAGTCTTTGTCTGTCTAGAGTGAATATTCACAGATCTCATTTAGGGAGAGCCTGGCCTGTGGTCTAAGCTGAACTGACCCACATGAATTCTAAAACTAAATATATTAGCTGCTAAGAAAAGGCCATTTGGCTGCAATGGAAGAGTGCTCAGAGGGGACGGCACTCGGGCACGGTTACCTGGATTGTCACCAGTGCAGTGAGAACGAGGCAGCTTGCATTTCCCTCTTCCACACACACACACACACACCTCAAGAGAACTGAGCATGCGCAGTGAGGCTGGGCACAGAGTACTGCACATAGGCCAGTCTCCTAGGCTGTGTACAAGAGTGTCACAGACTTAGTCTGGGCAGCTTAAATCAGGGGTCCCAAATCAAGGTCTTGTCAGGGTTGGTTCTACAGAGGGTGTCTGGCTCTGTTGGAGGCTGTCTTCATGCTCATGGTATCTTCTATGAATCTCTTCTCCAAATGCCCCTCCTGCCAGGACACAGGATGTTTTGGTTGGCACTCATTCTCTTTTGAACTCATCTTCGCTAAAGACTCTAAGGAACGTCACATTCTGAAGTGCCAGGGGGCACAGCATGGTCAGCCTTTCGACATTATGACAAAGTGTTGTCATCTAGAAAGTTCACGTTCAAGAACCAGACAGTTGAGATTAAAAAAACAAACTCCTGTTTTAAATCCGTTTATAAGTTTGTGTTGGGTTGCATGTATAGCATTTCTCAGCTATGTGCAGGTTGGATGTGCCTGTGAGGATTAAACCTTCAGCATATAATGGGGAGGAGGGCACCATCTAGCTCATAATACACGAAGGCCTGGGCCACTCTTGGGTTTAGCCTGGCTGACTACATGTCACTCCACCAGCTTCTGCCCTGGTGAGATGCTTGGTAATGTACCACAGCTAGCCATCCACATTTACTCACCTCGTCCTTCAGAGTTGATCTGAATTCCTTTTGAACCTGAGGACTTTTCAGGAGCTGCGCCTATACCCACGGGAGCTGGGAAGGCCAGGGCCTGAGCTGTCTGCTGAAGCTCAGGGTGACATGACCTTGTCTGTGACAGCCCTAAGCAGTTACCTGTGGCTGCTTTGCCCTGTGACACTCTAAAGTCATGCTCTCTGGAGATATCCGGGACTTGAGTACCCCTCAGGCCTGGGACTTGGTGAGTGTGACTTGGGCAGACACAGTCACAAAAGATCATTAAAGTGTTTTAGTCATGTTTCTCAGCCTGTGGTTCGCGGCCCCAGGGGTCACATCAGAGAGTCACAATTCATAGCAGTAGTCAAATAACATGAGTAACAATAAAATAGTTTTATGGTTGGGGCGGGGGTCACCACAACATGAGGAGCTGTATTAAAGGGTCACAGCATCAGGAAGGTTCTCAAACCACTGACCTAGAGACTAAAGCACACCCCCAAGAAGTCCACCTAGAACGTAATACAAGGTACGCACAGGGCATTGACTGGAACAAGTCCAGCTCACCACAGGTCGGAGTAGAAAACCAAAGGCTGCCCTTGTAAGGAGTGGGCAGCTGCATCTCCAGGCTAGTGGGGCAGTGCTGGTCTTCCCAGTGCCGAGGGGCAGGGGTAAGGCAGGTTGAGAGAGTGAAGAAGGAACATTCAAATTCAGTATCCTACTTGGAAGACTAGGCGTCCTTAAACTGATGAGACAAATTGGGGCCTGATGTGGGTGGCCGTGGCCAGGACAGGAACTTGGTCTGCCCTGCTTGAGTGACTCTTTCTAAGCCAGAGACCATGTTGTCCGTCAGTGAAAAGGGCTACCATGATGCTCTGCGTGGCACATCTCCCTTGAAGGCAGCCAGCACAAGTGAACAAACAGCAGTACGGGGCTGAGTTGCCAGGGCCTGTCATCTGCTGGGTGTTAAGTACCTTCCTCTGCTGTGCCTGCTTAGGACAGATAAAGGCAGTAAGTGGTTCGGATCCAGTCGGACTGTGTAACGGGTTTAAAGAAAACTTTAGGGGGAACATGAGCATGGAACCGGCTGAAGCTGTGTGGTGTTGCTCTGTTCACACTCAGGAAGTCTCCAGGACCTGCTGCCGCCACCACTGATAATCAGAAAGCCCTCTGGACTCACCGAGAACAGTTCCAGCACAGGCTTGTTCTGGGACAACCTGGTTAAACTTGTTGCAGATCTACTGGCCTGGAGGTGGGGGCCAGAGACGGTGTGTCCCCTACTGTTCTGGGAAGTGACCCTAGGCCACACCTGGGTGGGGGGACCTTCTATCACCCATGGGGCAGAAAAGTGGGAGGGTCCAGCTCACTGAGCAGGCTGATGGGAGGCTGGTAGAGGTAACTGCAGGGACCATCGGAGACTTCCCACAGCACCCTGCGGGTCACTTCCACCAGAGTGCCACCCACTGGTAATGTGACTTAACTCCGGCCTGGCTGATCTCGGTTTTACATGTGGCTCCTTCTAATGACCCGTGGTTGAAAGGCTTTTCCCTCATAATCCGCCTTCACGGTTTCTGTTCTTGGAGGCCTTAGCCCATTAGATGGCATCAGTTACTGATATATTTACACTTGAACTCACCTTTGTGTTTGGGGCTTTGTCCCACGTTCAGAGTTTGGGGCTGGTTGGCTGGGTTGGTTTTGTTTTCCTTCTTTCCTGTCTTGTTTTAGATTGGCTGTGATGTATTTTTGTTTTTGTTTTTGAATTTTTTTCATACTCCACTTCTCCCAATTTTATCCTTCCAAAGGACTAGAAGGAAAGACATTTGAATTCACAATCCTCTTTGGAAGATTTTGGTATTCTTTTCCCAAATTGATAAGACAAATTAGGAAAGAAGCCTAAAAATCTTGAACAAGCTGATTAACAAAATTGACCCAATTCATGAATGTAAGCACACTGCACCACAGGACCGCTGTTTCCATGAATATGCAGAACCGGGCAGAAATTGAGCTAATTGTCTTAGCCCCAGAGCAAATTTAAACAAATTTAAAAGTATTGGGATTACATGGAATGTGTTCTCTGACCACAGTTTACCTTCGTGGCTAAAGTCAAATAGCAAATCCCAGATGTTTTTATATATTCAAAAAGTAATGATTGTACTATGAAAACTAATACTAATGACTAGCCTGTGGTAAATTACTGATGAAAAAAAAAGCACAAATAACTTGTCTCAGGAGTGAAAGATGACATCACTGTAGACATTATGGGCTGTAAAGGGTAGCAAAATGATGGAAGGAACTTTTTGCCAAGACCTCGAAAATTAAAGCACAAGCTGGGTAGTGGCAGCGCACGCCTTTGATCCCAGCACTCGAGAGGCAGAACTACTCGGATCTCTGTGAGTTCAAGGCCAACCTGGTCTACAGAGTGAGTTCCAGGATAGGCACCAAAAACTACACAGAGAAACCCTGTCTCAACAGAAGAAAAAAGAAAGAAAATTAAAGCACAAAACATTACAAGCAAACTGAAAAGGATAGAAAACCTGAGTGGTTTTATACCGCTGAAAAAGTTGTTCACAAAACACCTTCCTCCAGAAGAAACCAACAGCCTCATGGGTTAACCAAAGAGTAGGAATAATATGAGGCTACCTCAACCTTAAAGCCAAAACTTGCTGACAATTGAGGAGAAGGACATCAGTGCCAGCCTCAGAGTCCACAGAAGCCGAAATCACATCAGAATACCAACAACCAGTCATACATTAGAAGGACAGAAAGTCATGATCACATTGGGTGTATCTGTGAGATCCAAAACCAATTTAACACCTGGAAGCCTGCAGTGGTAACCCACCACCATCCTAAACCAAAGGGGAAAACCACACCATTTGCTCCAGAGGGGTGGGCATGTAAAGCGGGCATGCTGGGGCACACCTTGAGTCCTTGGAGGCCAGCCTGGTCCACATAGTGAGTTCCAGGCCAGCCAGGGCCACACAGTGAGACCCTGTCTCAAAAGCTAAGAGGAAAGGTAGGGAAGCATCTATAGAAAATGTTGTATTTATTCATCTGTGCCACTTAAACGTATAATGTCCCTAAATGTAAATGTTACCTCCTCAGCTATGACCTCCCTGGCCACTCTATTGGAACTGTAATCTGGCCCACAGCCTCCTCACCCCTTCCCTGCTGTACTTCCTCAGAAGCATTAGCTGACAAGGTGCTATTGATGTTGCTCTTCGCTGTGTTCCTTATAGGTTTATGTCACTTTGTCCACTCCTGCTCCCTCAGCTGCTACTTCCACAGTACCTGACACGCAACAGGTACCCAGTAAATATTTTACTTATTTTCATGTACATGTGCCTGTGTGAGTGTATGTGCACCAGGTGCATACAGGTGCCCTCAGAGGCCAGGGGGCCTTGGATCTCCTGGTAGTGGAGTTACAGGCAGTTGTGAGCTGCCTAATGTGGATGCTGAAACCCAAATCCCGTCCTCCGCAAGAACATAAGTGTTTTTAATTCTGAGCCATCTTTTGAGCCCCCACAATAAACATTTAAAATAAATCCAGTGCCTCTAAATAATAGTGAACCCATTAAACAAATCCTTTTTATATTAAAAGAAAAAAGGTTGGAAAGATGGGTCAGTGTTTAGAGCATTTATTGTTATTGCCAAGGACCTGTGCTTGGTTCCCAGTATCCACACAGCAGATCACAGCCATCTATAACTCTAGTTCCTGGGGGTCTGACACCCTTTCCTATCTGCCATGGGCATAAGACTTAAATGTGGTGCACAGATATACATACAGGCAAACCCTCAAACGCATAAAAAGTTAAAAATAATCAAAAAGAGAAGCTGGATATGAGGGCACTCAGAGCTGTAAAGCCAGCGCTCCTGAGGGGAGACCAGGAGTGTAAGGCCAACCTTGGCTACACAGAAAGGTCAAGGCTAGCCCAGGCCAGGTGAGGCCTCACATCAAAAAGAAAAGGAAGGAAAAAGCAAAAAAAGGAGGTGCACCACCACAGAGCCCCAAAGAACCCAGGGTCTTTAGGGCCTACAGAGAAGCCAGCAGGGAAATCAGGTGTATTGATTAGGCATGGCATATTCTGAGCAAGCGGGGGCTGTGGCGGGGAAGAAGTGTGGATTAGCTGGAACCCATGGCTCTTGATGAAGATGCATTTATTAAGTCTGGCAAGGATGTTAACTGAAACCACAGTTGTCCGACCTTTCCAAGAGTCTTTGCCCTTCTGCACCTGTGGTGACCCAAAGATGTTACTGGGTATCCTGAGTGAACTCACAGGAGGGCTCGCTGAGGTACCCAGCACAAGCTAAGTGCCCCAGCTATCAGGTGCTGTCAACCAGAAGATTGTTCTACTCACTCACTGCCACACTCCTACCTCACCCCACAGCCACACCCCTACCCCATACCCACCACCAAGACACCAGAGAAAATAAATTTTAGACAAGTCTGTCTTCCATGAAAGATGAAGCTTAACTTTTATCTTCAGTCAGGTGTCTCACTATATGGCCTCAGGGCCTCAAACTTGCTATTTTCCTGCTTCAGGTTCCTGAGTGCCAGGACTGTAGCATGCAGTATTACACTTGGCTGTAACTTAGACTTTTAATGCTCCACAGCATCTTAGGAATCCTTTAGTTCAGCACTGTGGGACCTAGCTCAGCTCAGCACCATGTGGTCAGCTCTTCTAGAAAATGGAGTATCCTATACCAGTGCCCAAGATGGCCTTTGCAGTACTGGACTGAGTCCCTTGAGCCTGCAGGCTCCCAAGGTGG